CTGACACTTCATACTAATTTTTGTTTAATCAAATTTTCACTAGCCTGTAACTACATTTCCTGCGTACTTTTAGTCTTCAGTACCATTTAAAAAAAACTCCAATTTAAGAAAATTTGTGCTCACAGAATGCCTCTCATGTATGGGTTCAGATCTTCCAGTCTCTCTTTGTACTGATAAGCCATGATTCTTCTATCCAATCTTGTAGTTGTCTATTCTGGGTCTAGCTTGAGCTGTCTTTTGATACTGCATCCTGACTTCTCAACATATTGTATATTTGACAAGCATTAAGAGTAACAGCTGAAGGTGCCCTTCTTCTATTCGTACAGAACGTTATAAGAGCTGTCATGACATTTGTTTTGTAATTTTCACTAACCATGTATTCCTTCAACTCAGATTGAGCTTATTAATTTGGACTGTGGTAGAACACAGAGATTAGGTGTACTTGAAAAGTTTAAAATAGTACTGTTTTGTTAATGTCTAGCCTTGGGACTTCTGTACTTGTGAAACTAGGACTCATTTAACACATTAAATCACCTTCTGTCCCCTGTCCTCTGTCCCCTGTCCCAGTGCCTTAGAGCAATCTTGGATCAATATAAGATAGACCTATAAAGAATTGTCATGGAGCAAACCTTTTTATTTGGTGCCAATTGTTCCTAAATTTTGTTAACTGGACCCTGTATTCATTTTCTATGTATGAATCTTTTATTTGCTGATTTAATAAAATGTCCTAACATTTGAATGTGTTTAACTTTGGCCTCTGAACGTTAAGAGTCTCAGATCCTACGATCTTCTGACATAATCTTTTTAAAGCTTATTATCTGACAAGATTTCAGATTTTTATGGCAAACTGAGCCCCATATATTTGTTATGTAAGTATAATTAACAACATTTAATTAATAATAATGACTAATAATTGGTAACATAGAGTGATATATATGTGTCAAGGTCAAGTCCATGAATTTTCAAAGTACTAAATTAATAAGCATCAGTTCAGGTCTGAGGTAAGTATTTTCATTTTCCTCAAGTTCTATTTCATTATATTGGCAAGTTTCTGGCATTTAGACTAGATTAACTTAGCTCCTACTTTTGAGACCACATTTTCTATCAATCTTTCAAACAACATTTATCCCTGTATTGTTTTGTCTGGTTTCCTGTTTTTGCCCTGCTGAACATAATATCTTTGATTCTGTCAACCCTATGATTCATTAGTAAGGTCAAATGACAATCAACTTTGTGTGATTCATTTTTGTGTGACTTAAGTATTTAAGGTTTTTGAGTCTTTAATTAAGAAGACAAATCTGAATCCTAGTTATACGAATATATCACGCTCTTGTCCTGTGCTCAGATTTTCATCTTAAAATGGATTAAGAGTAACCAGTTCATCAGACAATTATCAAAAAACTTTACATATAAAATTATAAATGCAATTATAAAACAAATTTTAAGATGCCATAGATATTGCTTCTTCTTTAGTGGTGAATATTAAAGTTTATTGAATTGTATTTTGACATTAATATTCTTTGCCCCCAAAGTGAAGATAACTGTGGAAAGGTGATATTTAAAAAAAAAAAATACACAGACTTTTTGTTTGAGAATTTTATCTAACAAAGGAAAGGTATCTGGACCAATTTTTAAATACCTAAAATAATGGATGTAGAAGAAAGTTCACTCATATGGCAGAATATTTAACATGTTGCTGTGATTTGAAGAAAAGAAGACGAGGATAATTAAAATAGAGTTTAGAATCAATTAGCGGATTGCTTGACTTGCTTCAGGGTCACTGCAAGAGGAAACTAAATTTTAAATTAAAATTGAATGTGGTAATAATTAACACTGGTAACTAAAAATGAAAACATATTTAAGAAAGTAATCAAGTAGATACCCTAAAGGCCATACCTTTATGCTATGTACGTTAGTGTATTTTACTAACTCAGTGCCATTAGAATATCCAAAACGTTTTTTTCTTTTTGGTACTTTCCATATTTAATTTCTTATTTTCCTCAATCAGTCAAAATAGTTTCTAGATACAAAGATTATTCAGTAACTCTTAGAAGAGGTACTCATATGCATGAGAAACATTATCTCAAGGAGTCTACTGTGGTGAGATAGACATGTAAAGATGTAACATTTTAAATAATACAAACATAGAAATCTAGAAAAAACAATTTGCTTTAAGGTAATGTGATTGTCTTCATCACAATAAGGGGTAAAAGTAGTAATAAGTTCCAGGAGGGCTTGGACATTTGGATCAGAATAGCCTAGGAAAACCCAGGACAAAAAAAAAATGGATTGGAATTTATTTCAAAGCATAAATACGATTTTGAGCTCTTTCAAATATTTTTCATCTGTTCTAAAAATGATTACTCTTGTTTCCCTATTTATATACTAAGAAGCCTTCAGAGTTTCCAGGAAGCAGAATGATGTCAAAGGATGAAGGATTGCTAGCCACAGATCTCATAATTCAGACTTCCTTGATACACCTGCTGAACAGCTGTCAAAAATTCTGTCATGTCAGTCTTTACAATGTTCTTCCTTACCCTCTCAAAAGATTTCCTCAGGATATCTATGAAGTACAGATCTATTTCTCATTTAACACAAGAAAATATAAAGAAATTTTTGAAATAAACCCATGTCTTAGGCACCATAATTGGAAAATGGGAAGCTTCCTTAGCCCACAAGAATGTTGGCTCACAAGGAAAGAGGAGAGTATAAAGTATGTAAAATGGACTACACATGCTCATTTCTTGTTTTCCTCATTGCTGACAATATACAGCTTGCCACTACTCTTGCATGTACTAGTCATTCATATTGAATTGCCTGAGCCAGATGCAAATCACTTTCTTCTTCTCTTTCCTGGGGTCCAGATGCTGTTTTCAATACAGAAAATGTGTGGTGGGCTACTTACAATTTGACATCTGCATTTGGATATAGGCAACAAATTTTATAAACTTTGCATATGGCTTATCTATTATTTTTTATACTGCAAACTCTTGGAGGTCAAAATATTTCTGCTTAGCCAGTGTGTCCATGAATTAGTATCAATTTAGATGAAGGGCAAATTAAAATCTAATCTAACACTGGGCTAAACCCTGACAAATGTACATGATCTGTTTCTGTAAATCTGGTACTCAGCATGTAAAAATGAAAACAGCTAGTGGAAACAGTGTTTTCTATGCTAAATTAAAGTTCTTGAAAGCATTGAGAATTGAAACAATTTAAATGCCATTAGAAATCCAGGGTGGGGCACATAGCCTTTGAAATAATTCCAAATCCATTTCATGAGCAGACATGGGTATGAGTTCAAATTTCCTACAAAATATAAATGAAAATTTGATTGTACATGAGCAACACCTTTGTTTCAATAGCAAATTTAGTCTTATGTCAAGAAAGCTTATTAATGATTCTGTACCTATATTCTAGCAAAGTCAACATTGTACAAAAAGTAGCATTTAATTAAATATTTTAGTTTTCATGAAAATTTTCAGAAATTAACTGACAGCAGAAAATAATACACTAAATTAACAACCATATGGGGAAATATTGCAGAATGTTGTTTAATTAAAAATTGATATTGTAATTTATCTTGTCATTTAAATCCATAAAAATAATCTATAAATTGAGTGTATATGCACTTTCTGGTAAGCAAAGAAGAATTAATTGCTAGTATATGGGATTTTAACAAAAGTAAAATATCAGTTTTTATTTTTAGCCATACATTTAAAGTGTTATTCTTAATTTAGTAGTAAAGAAAGGGTTTTGTAGCTTAATAGGATGGTACTTTTCTTTAAGTTGACAAATTATGAATTCAAATAACCGTATTTTTATTGTGAAATAAACACAAATTTGCAAGCAACATTATATTGTTACAAAACAATATCAAACTTGTTTAAATTGCATTCTTTTAAATTGATTTAACTGGTATATAAAACAATTTAATATCCAGATCTATATTGTATCACATAATTTTTGAGCAGGAACTCAAAATATACCCATCACCATTCTATTAATGCTTTCTCTGTTAAGATAAATGAATAAGAATAGCTTATTGCAAGTGTATTATCAATAAGATACAAAGGGATTCCTGGCTTTGTGGCTCATAATTAAAAACATCCCTTCTCATTTGTAACTCCTAAACACAAATGAATTTGCCTACATTTTAATGTTGTTCAATAAGACTCTTGTTTTTTAAAAAAAATGGTAAATAATACTGAGATCCGTCTTGTGTGTCCTATTAAAATTTGTCCTCAATCTAAAAAGAAAAAATGGAAAAATGTTAATAATATACATTATAATTCATACAATAAAGTAATGTGTATATGCTATCTGAATGAACAGCTTAATAGGTAAGAAAATGGAAAATGAGAAGTATATTTTCAGTATTGTTAGAAACAGTGTGTAATGAATGGATGATTCAAAGAGATATCATCATTGCTAAATGGCACAATTCTTAACTGATTAATTCTTAATTCAAATATCATTAATATATGATAAAAATTAGTAGCAGCTCTATTATGAGAAATAAATGCTTTTGTGGCTTCAATGTATCCTAAAAGATGATTAACAATCACAGAAGAAAAATAGAATATTTGTGTTTCTTCTTTTTAAAAATGTTTTTATTGAAATTGAATCATATTATTTCTCTCCCTTCTTTCCTCCCTCTTGCCCTTCTAGCTATCCTGTTTTGATCCCATCCCATGTTCCCCCATTCTTAATTTCTTTGCTTTTTTTCCTCCTATTACTGCTCTTACATATGCATGTATGTATGTACAATTATATATATATATATATATATATATATATATATATATAGACAACCTGTGAGACTTTTGATGTTTGTGTGTATATGATTTTAATAACAGAGTTTATTTCTAAATCTCATTCTACCAACTGTCATTAGTGACCTGCAGTGTTTTGTCTAGGGATAGGACCCCACAAAATTTTCCCCTTTTCACGTCAACATGTCCACTGATATTGACATTTTTCTTGTCTTGTTTCTGCAGCCATTTCTAGGATTCACTCAACAGGACAGAAATCATGCCTGGTACTGGAAACCCATCTAACTTCTCCTGGCTATTGAGGCCATGGCTCATAGAAAAAGAATCTACAGCCTCTGTTTGCTAGACCAGCATAATTAATTACTACATTCTAAATCTTATCCTTATTACTTACAAGTAAGTGTAACTACCACTTCTCATTCAAGATGTGTTTCTTTATAGCAAATGGAGACAATTACAGAAAACCACAACCAAACGCAATATAGATACCAATAGATCATAGAAATCTATACCTAAATGGATGCATCTGCATTGCAGCTCTTCAATCTATGATTTGGGGAACTTTATGAAAGAGAGGATGGGAAGATTGTAATAACCACAATACTAGGAAGCCTGCTGTGAAACAGTGTTTTTTTTTAAAGAATGGATACATAAACAAGATAAAAAATAAAAAATATTTACACCCCACAAACTTAACAGATACTATATCAATCAAATGTTAAAGATTAACTAGACCTATAACTAGACATAACAATAACAGATGCACAAACTGAATTCCATCACTAGCATCTCTTCCTTAAATTTGTTGAGGCCATGAAAGAAATGAAATACTGGGAGATCAACCAAGACAAAAGGAAAGTAAAGAGTCATGATGATTTATAATACAAGATTTGATACTAGAATCCATACAAAAATTGAAGAGGCAGTTAGAAAACTTGAATAAGGTCTGTAGATTAGTCTATAAATGTTCACATCTTGATTTATTGTTCTAATGTTATCATAGATGATGTTAGATTTTAGTCCAATTTCTGTGTCTTAGATTATTTCAAAATTAAAAGTAACAAAAACAGCAAAACATGTATGCCTGAAATACATTTTGAAATAATTGGGACTACAAAATACAGTTGCTTTCCAGAGGCTTGAGAACTCATGTCAACTTTAAAACATCTAATAAATTATGCTGGAATATGCACCAAATTCTTACTATATTTATTTTTCCTGAATTTCAACAATCCCAAACTTACTAAGCTGATTCTAAATAGATGAATAATCACCAAAAAAGATTACTATTTATTGTGTTTTAATATTCTATTACATAAAGTATTGTAATACTTAAAACCTTCAAACATCAGTAAGAACCAATATTTAGATCCTCTTCTTAACTTTGTATCAAGGCATAGTGTCTTCTAGGGTCTACAATCAGAGTGTAAATACTTTGGATAGTGCAATGTGTCATTAAATAACACAGTAGAACTACTTATAGAAAAATCTCATCCCACTAGATTAACATAGTGAGTTATTTATTCTGTGATCTTTCTTTCATTTGCATGAAAATTAGACTTTCAAGCTGGTTAGTATTGGGCTACCCATAGTCATTCAGCTATAATTACATGCAAAAAAGACATTCAAGGAAAGCATGCCTGGTAAATGTTACTGGAAATACTCGTTTATTCTTTTATGGCTAGAAGAATTGCAAACATTCTTAGAAAGTCATCTCTTTTAAGAAAAAAAAGTCATGAAAAAAAATAAAAGGCAAAAAAAAAAAGCAGACACATTTTGGTAGATAAAAAACAGAAATTTCGCTGGCGGGAGGGAGTTCCTTTATGGTTTTTGCACTTTGGCAGCTGTCAACATCTCAAAATATCATCTCACCCAAACTGTTGAAAGAAAAGAACCCTTTGATTTCCCCCTTGAGACACTAGGACTGAAAATGGAACCTTTGTAGTTCCAGATCTATCTCAGACAATATGCCCTCTTTATTTTCTAGTTGGCAGAAACATGTAATTCCTAAATAGTTAATAATTTTTATCATTTTAAATTGATTTTAAAAGGAAAAACGGGGTAAAGTAAATCTGTGCCATGTTTTTTTTTCTTTTATTACCAATCTTGAGACTAAACTACACATTTCTTGCATCATTAATAATGTAAATTAGTTTTTGTTTGTGTCTCACATAAGGCTATAATTAGAAGTAAATATTTAATGCCCAGATCAGAAAATCAAATCTAACACCCACAAATTGTGTTCTCTAGGTACAGAAAGTTAATGTGAAAAAGATTGAACAGAAATTTTTATTTATTTAACCTTTCTTGCCTTTTCTTTACTACCAGTGGATTACTTTGTAATTATTTATTAAGCAGCAGTGTTTTCATATTCTTTCTCCTTCAATCTGTAGGGGGCACAAACAGCATTAAATATCATATGTTTAATGTTATAAAATGTATTTGAATATTTATGTAAAAAATTACATCTGTGTTTTTAGTTTAGTATTATATTAATACCCAAAACGCAAATCATTATTCAAATTGCAATTCAGAAATTTATGCATTGACAATAATTTCTCATATTTAGTTGATCAATATTTATTGATCTGCTAAATTTTCAAAATCTTATTTTTTTAACATTATCAGATATCCTTAGGTGTTGCATTTTTTATTTTAGGAGCTGACAGAGTTTTCCAAATTACTCCAAATTCAGTTTTTCTTCCTTCTTTTCCTTAATCATTACATTAGGGATACCAACCAGTGTCTTTTGTATGGCTGATATATGACCTATTTTTGCCAGATTCATATTCACTATTCACTAGGAATGGTATGTGAATATAGGATAGGAATTCTCAAGCAAGTTCCATCCTCATGAAAGAGAAACTGATCCTAAGTTCCAGGTTGTCCCAGGTGTCTAGTCAATTTTCACATTAGTATAGATTTTTCAAAGAAAGGCATTTGTTTCAACAAAGGAACTAGAGGGAAAATTGGATGCTAAGATTCCATGAGTAGAAATCTTCCTGGCACTTGACGTTTCTATGCTATTGAAAAATGATGTTCCAGAAAGATTATTTTTCTCTTATTTCTACTGCCATTGTTGATCTACTGTGGGACATTTTTATATATTGAACATGGGTTCTTTTTGACCTGTTTTTGGTCGTTCCTCCATTCAACTGCATCTTTTTTTTTAAAAGCAAAATTAAAAACTATTAAATTCTGCATGGGACATATCTTCTGTCACCTTAATCTTAGTTGGATCAACCTCATTTATTTATCTTAAAATTAACCAGTTATATCTTAATTCCATTCAAAGAAAATACAGGAAGAAAATAGAGGTGTACTCTCTATAATGCATTTTACTGTACAGTTAATAAGCAAAGTATTAAATGAAGAAGATATTTGTTTTATTAAACATGTGAAGATTTAGATAAATTACATTTTAACTGAATGTCTAAAGTGATTATCTTTTTCTCCCTCCACCCAAGTTAGTTTTACATCTTTTAGGGGGTGTTTCAATGAAGGCTTTACATAAGAAATTATTTAAAAAAATAAGGGTGGGTCAATAAGTGTATATAACAGTAATAACGCCTTGTAGGTGTAGGTTTCTGGATGCATTTGGATGTACAGATTGATTGGAGGACTTTGGGGATGATGATTGGTATAGAAATGTGTAGGTTTGGATGGTTTTTTACATATTGCTTACCATTGCAAGAAACATTGGGGTTTCTTCAAAATGTGTATGTCACACTTCTTTTGGGAGGGGTTGTCTTCTCTTATGAAACCGCTCCTTGAGTTAAATTTGTAATTTAGAAACATTTAATTTTGTTACTCCTGTATATGACTTTTAACTAACATCTAAAACATAATTGCTTTATAATGTTCAAATAAAATTTCCTGACCCAAAAATACTTATATCAAATTATTATATTTTCAAATATAATAAAATTTATACATATATATATATTTATTAAGGGGTGCAATGGGGGAATGGACTCATGGGTACAACACAATGTGTAACCCGTTTCAGAGTCCTTCTCTTTTGCCAAAGGAAGCTGTGAACTGTCCAGATGCCGCTTCACACCACCTGACCTGGTCTTCACCATCCAAGTGAGACTGCGACCTTCCTCTCTCTTCTAATATGTGGTCACATCTGCAGACAAAATGCCATACCTTAGGGTTAGTACCCCAAAGCTATTGGCAAAATGAGTTCCTACAACACTTATGGATCAAGACTTTTAAATTTCAACATTTCTGTTTGCTTATAAATATTAAATACATGAAAAATGAAATACTCTGGAATCTGAATCAGTACAAAAAAGTGATCAAAAAAATTCTTCTTCTGTCTCAAATCTTTTATTTATATTCACCAACATGGACCGTATTCCTTTATGTGGATCACAAATTGCTAATATAATAAATCATTTCATATAAGTACATTAGTTGGTAGTTCTGGTTTAATATACCCCTTAGGATCTTTTGCCAGTGTATTTTAATCATTCCCTTTGTCCAAAAGGGTAACAGTGCAAATTTTTGTTATAGAAATTTCAGAAAGCAGGCTAATAGGAAAAAATCTTTTATTTTATGCTATTATGGTTAATAGAAGTGTGGGGGAGGGGTGGGTAGGTGGGGTAAGCACATCTGTGTTCACAGGTGCATGTGTGAGCATATATGTGTAAAACTGGGGTGCCAGGAATCATCCTATATCTCTCTTCTACACTATTCATTGAGTCAGGGTCTCTCAGTCAAACCCATATCTTGTTGATATACCTACCCTAGCTAGCTACCTTACTTTAGGGTTCCCCAGTACTCACCTTCCAAAGCTAGAAGACCTTTCACACCCTCTTGGCATTTTACATGGTGTTGAGGAGACTTACTAGAAGCAGTAAGCCATCTTCCCATCGCCAAGATCATCAACCTATTACCTAGAGGCCACCTATTCTGCTCACATATAGAGTCAGCCAGAGAAATATCAAAAGGTATTTATTATGCTTATCATCTCATTTGATGCTCCTACTAATCCTCTAAAGAAAAGAGACAGAATTATAGCTAGTAAGTGGAGAATACAAAACTGAAACCCAAAACTCTGACTCCTTATAATGTTCTCCATACTATAAAAGTGGTTTTAAACACCTGTTTGTTCGTTGCTCAAATAAAATGTTTTGAATAACTCCATGATAAATAAAAGGAATAAACATACATATTTGTTTGAAGATGGATTTGAGGGTTCAGAGACATAATTTACCACTTCTATCTGTTCCTTTTTAAGGTTTTCCTCAAAGCATCCTACCATCTACGACAACAGCTGCACAGTACCCTGCAACTGTATAATGTACAATTTCCAAATATTGACCAAGCTACTTAATAATCAATTGCATGGTCTCATTCAACCTATTTAATTCATTAACAGTCATTTTCTCCATTTCATCATAACTTTAATAATACTGTTTATAGATTATGATAATTATAAATGTTAAAGAATTAATGTAAAATGTATCATTATTGACCAGTTAATGAGTAAATAAATAGTTGGGAATTTGCAAAGTTGCTTTCTTCATGTGTTGTCATTAAAATATAATATTACTAAAGTTTACAATTCTCATTAACTTGTGTAATTCTATGTGTGAAGAATAAAAATATAAATCAGGCTTTTGTGAGAAATCTTTTAAAAAAGTATGAAAGATTTTTATTAAATGAGAATATTTTGTACAAATTCAGAAAAATTTTAAGTTTTATTTTAAAATATAAATTTAAACATGTTAAAACTAAATAGTAAATAGAAAAGAAAGATATAAGAAAACTACAGAAATGGAATATGTTTTGGTAAGATAGGATAAAGAGGAAAGTGCCATTTTATAAATAAATAAGATAGTTCTCCTTAAGGAAAAGGACTAAACTATGTTAAGTGGGAAAAAGTCAAGATAGAACCCACAGTAAGATTACAAAATTCAAAATTGAGTGAATCACAGACTTTTGGAGGAAAATCCTAAAAAAGTTTATATGAATTAATTAATGATTTAAAGAATTTTGTCAGGCTGACATTAATTGTACTAATTCAACAAATGAAAACTCATACATTTACAATAGCAAAGTCTTAAGTTTTTATCTGATCCCAGTAATTATCAGAAAGTCCAGACTTGTGTTCTTTGTAAATAAATGTTTATACTTGTTTTCTGAATACCTTTTAAACTTTTGATTAGTTAAGGCACAAAGTGTATTTTTTAAATAAAGAACTGAAACTTCATAGAGTTAAAATTTTTGTTTGTTTTCTATTCTGCTTGCATTGAAGTCTTCTGAACAGAACTTTATGACTTAATTTAAACAAAAAGAAGAGTTGGATAACAACACTGTTCAAATAAATGACTATTTTAGACGATTAAATTGTTTGCTATCTTGTATGTCTATACACAGACATACATGCCTGAATAATGTCTAAATTTTATGGGAAAGTTTAAAGAGTTAAAGGTAGGTATATTTACAAACAAAGTAAAAATAAATGCTTTTATGTAGTTGACATTGTATGTGGCCCTTAAACATATTAAGCAGTCAATACAGCTTTTGACATTTCAGAATTGATTCAATTTAAATGTGAGTATTTTACTATTTGGAAAGTTTTACATTTTTTTTATCATTATCATTACTCTATGTAAATCTGCTAATGGAACAGTCAAACAACTGCAATTATCTTTATTAACTGCGTGAAGGGGATCTAAATTTTATTTCAAAATTAAAATCTAACTTAATTTATAAATGCCAAAGACATAAATGAACACTTTTTTTGTCTTTCCACATTATCATAATTTATTGAATAACAAAAAGTTCAAAAGTTTTAGTGTTTTGGGTGACAGCAATTTTTCATATAATCCATATATGTTGGCAGCCAAAGACAGTACAAGTTTTTTTATTACAGTCCTAAGTAACTAATATTAACTGTCATGTCATGTGTCACAGACTATTTATCTGCATACATACTTACATATAGATATATGTGTAAACATATGTATATATGTATATATATATATATATAATACACACATACATATGTAGCGATGAGGTGAGCAGGCCTGCTTTTTGTCCTGCCCGGCTCCCACATGGTTAGCTTAGCCCTGGAAATAATAACACAGAAACTGTATTCATTTAAACACTGCCTGGCCCATTAGTTCTAACCTCTTATTGGCTAGCTCTTACATATTGATTTAACCCATTTCTAAATCTGTATTGTCACTTGATTGTTGCTTACCTGGATGAGTCTAACCGGCGTCTGTTCTGAGAGGCAAGCCATGGCGTCTGCCAAACTGGCTTCTACCTAGCATCCTATTCTGCCTACTCTGCCTACCTAATGTTCTGCCCTATCAAAAGGCCAAGGCAGTTTCTTTATTTAACCAATGAAATCAACACAAAACAAAAGACCCTCCTACATCATGTGTGTGTGTCTGTGACTAGCAGAATGAATATAAGTTATAGAGGCTGAAAGAGCTTCAAGTTGTTTAAAAAACCTGTGTTAATATGACTGTGAACCCAACAAGTGCTAGGAGGAAGCTGAAGGTAGAACTGAAGAGAAAACTTCAGAATTCAGCTGTGAGGTGAAAGGGAACAGTGGTCTGGAGCAGAAAATGGGAGGTCTGGTTAATGTTCTGATAGCAAGCAGGTGGACAGGCATGTGGGACAGACAGGTGAGTAGATTGGGGACCCAACTGAGATAGAGTCCCAGGAACAGTGCTGTCATTTTTGATACCTGATGGAAAAAATAAACTCATCAGGCATAAGCTTGTGTGGAGCTTTACACAAACACCTCACCATAATAGTTGTCTGTCACTGAATGGGGTTCAGATGGGAAAGTTTCACAGTTTCCTTAGTCTAGTATTTCATATAAGTTCTTGGACATGGCTCCCTTCTATGATTTTAATATACCCATATGTCCCTGAGGTCTTAATTAAGTCTCATAAACCCACAGGGCAGCTCCTTTTATACTCCTAGAAATAACAAATTTTGCAGTCTGGCCTAGGTGTGTGCTACCTAAGAAATGGTGCATTTCCGGTAGTCACCCAAGAGCTGTAGGCATCCTTCCCTCCTAAAGTGGGGTTAAAAACTCCTTGTGAAATGGAGCACATCCTGTAAAAGAAACACTATTTCTTATATAACAGACTTTTCTTGGGAAGACACAACAAGAATCTACTTGCATTCTAAAGGGAGCTCCCTTGACAGATGAAAGTAAGTATTGCACCAAGGGCAACTTAGTTCAATTAATGATTTTTTTTTCTTTTTTACTGGAGTAGCTAAAATGAGTATTGGTGAGCTGTTACAAGAAGCATGGCTATCTCAATAAAAAGCAGTTCCATCACCAAAACACCTATTTAAAAATGGGTAATGACTTCAGAAAATCCTGAAACCTTTATATAATCTATATTCAAATCTATATTAAATCCTAGAGTTGTTATTCAATCAGAACATATTATCTATCTGTCATCTATCTATCTATCTATCTATCTATCTATCTATCTATCTATCATTTATCTATACTTTATCATTTTTTGCTAACAAATCTTCTCTCCCAACAACTACTTAGTCTTTTTTTTCCTTCCCTTTGCTTCCCTTCCTTTTTCCCTTTCCTTATTCCTCCCCTTCCTCTTCTTTTTTTTTTTTGTTTTAACCACTAGATAAGGGTCCTGATAAATATTTCAAGTTCCTAGTCATTTGAAATTTGTTTACCTCCTGAGGTTCAAGGCCACTCCCTTTCCTTTCTGAAGAAAAGGTTTCAGTTTGGAAGGAATGTTGCAATTAGAAATCTGCCAGCCTGAACTGTATTAGAAAACAGGGAGTAACAGGGTAGGTGAGAGTAGCCTGATTTCAGCAGTAAGCCAAAATATGCAAGTGATATCCTAATTGTTACTTTCTGGTATATTAAGGATTTTTGAAGAAAAAATGAATGTGTCAATTATTTAAGCATAATCAATGTAAAAGCATAAGAATATTTTGTCGTTTTTCCTTTTTTATTTTTTATCTTATTTTTTAAGAAACAAACTATCTTTTATTTTACATACCAGTTCCATCTCCCACTTCCTCCCCTCCTCCCCGTCCCCTTCACCTCTTCCTCACCCCACCGCCATCCACTCCTCAGAGATGGTCAGGCACATAGCTTTGGGAATGGTCCAAGGCCCTCCCTACTGTATCTAGGCTGAGCAAAGCATCCATCCAAAGAGAATGAGTTTCCAAAAAGCCAGTACAAGCAGTAGGGATAAATCCTGGTGCCACTGCTATTAGCCCCTCAGTCTGCCCCATCCTTACAACTGTCGTCCACATTCAGAGGGTCTAGTTTGGTTCCATGCTGGTTCCATCCCTGTCTGGCTGGAGTAAGGCTCACATTAGTTCAGGTAGACTGTTTCAGTCGGTGTCCTCATCATGGTCTTGACCTCTTTGCTAATATTCTCACTCCTCCCACTCTTCCACTGGACTTTGGAAGCTTAGGCCAATGCTCTGCTTCGGGTCTCTGCCTGTTTCCCTCAGTTACTGAATGAAGGTTCTATGGTGATATTAAAGATATTCATCAATCTCACTACAGGGTAAGGTCAGTTTGGGCTCCCTCTCTTCTATTGTTTAGGGTCTTTAGCTGAGGTCATCCTTGTAAATTCCTTGGGATTTTAGTGTCAGGTTTTTTGCTAATCAAATAATTGATCGCTCAATCAAAATATCTCTTTCCTTGCTCTCATCTCTGTCATTCCTCCATCTCAACTATCCTGTTCCCTTAAATTCTCCGGCCCCCTCCATTTTTATCCTCTTCTTCCCTTTCCACACCCCCTTCTTCCCCCATCCCCATGTTCCCAACTTTGTCAGGCAATCTTGTATATTCCCACTTTCCAGGTGGATCTATTTATGTTTCTCTTAGGGTTCACCTTGTCACTTAGCTTCTCTAAGGACTCATCCTTTGCTTTACAGCTAGTATCCACTTATGAGTGAGTACATACCATGTTCATCTATACTATGTTCATCTTTCTGGGTCTGGGTTAGCTAGCTCAGGATGTTTTATTCTAGTTCCATCCATGTGCATGCAAATTTCAAAATGACATTGATTTTTACTCTCAGTAGAAGTATTCCATTGTGAAAATGTACCACATTTTCTTTATCCAGTCTTCAAATGAGAGGCATCTAGGTTGTTTCCAGGTTATGGCTATTACAAATAATGCTGCTATGAACATAGTTGAACAAATGCTTTTGTCATATGATAGGGCATGTCTTAGGTATATTCCCAAGAGTGGTATTACTGGATCTTGGAGTAGGTTGATCCCGAATTTCCTGAGAAATCGCCACACTGATTTCAAAAGTGGTTGCACAAGTTTACATTCCAACCAGCAATGGATGAGTGTACCCCTTACTCCACAGCCTCTCCAGCAAAGGCTATCATTGGTGTTTTTGATTTTAGCCATTCTGACAGGTGTAAGATGGTATGTAATTTAAATATATATAAAACTAACGATTCAAAACTACCATCCATATAGGAGAGACAACATGTAACATATATCTTTCTAAGGTTGGGTTGCCTCACTCATGATTATTTCTGACTCCATTTGTTTACCTGAAAACTTTATAGTTTCACGCTTTTTTGCAGCTGAACAATATAATATTGTGTATATGCACCACACTTTCATTATCCATTCATCAGTTCATAAACAACATCTAGGTTATTTCCATTTCCTGGCTATTGTGAACAGAACAAAAACAAACAGAAGCAGCAATCCCTGTAGTAGGGTATTGAATACTTAAGGAATGTACTCCAAAGAAATACTGCTGGCTTCTATAATAGGCCTATTTAAAGATTTCTGAGGAACCTCCACACTGATGTCTGTAGGGGCAATACCAGCTTAGACTTCCACTAAGAGTGATGGAGTTTTCTCTTTTCCACACACTCGTGCCAGTATTTGCTGCCTCTTTATATTTTAATCTTAGCTATTCTGACTGGAATAACATGAAATCTCAAAGTAGTTTTTTAATATGCATTCTGTGAAGGCCAAGAATGTTAATATTAAAAAAATTCTCAGACATTTGTATTTCTTTTTGCTCTTTTTTCTAGAAGTCTCTGTTTATGTCTATGTACCAGATTTTAACTGAGTTGTTTTCTTTCCTGGTGTTTAGATCCTTTTATTTCTTTGCATATTCTATACTTGGGTCATCTGTCAGATATAAATAT